CTGTAATTGTGTTTTACCAGACATCAAAAGATTTTTATAAGAAAAATCAAATTAGAAATTTTATCTATTTGTTAAATGTATCCTTGTTTCAATTTGAATTAAATTTAATTGGTGGGCTTTAAACATTTCTTGTACATTACAAATTCTTGAATTGTGATTATAAGGTTAACTTGCTTTTTTCTATACTTTGTTGATAAAAACTCAAGGTTAATACTTTTCTATTGGCAGCCAGTCAAATTTAAGATATAACAATCTGAAAACAGAAAAAGGATGCTTTAAGCTGAAGTTTATTATAGAAGGTTTATAGTAAGTGAGACGGCAGAGGAAAAATATTAAGAAAGCTATGGGTAAAAGAGATATACTTTTGATATGAAAGGATTTTGTATATATGTCTTGTTAGAAAGATATAAAGAAAGAGATACAAGACCAGAAGGCTTAAGTATGTAGAAAAGGTATGTGGAAATGATTTTACAGGAAAATATGTATGTTTGCTTGTTGGTTTCAAGTTTGTTACAGAAGGTTTACTTTTATAATAACAGCTTTCATTCCTTTTGATTCTAATTCTATGAGATCTGTTAATTGACCTGCAAAGATTTTGACTAGTCATAACTAAAAGATTTTATAATTCAATTGGCCAAAACCATCTGGATACACTCTAATTTAAATTGTCTTATATCTTTGTCTGTCTAAATGTTATCTGGTTTTACTTTTTCTAGAGGGCCTGAGGCCTTCCCTATAAAAACAGAGGGCTTCAGAAGTATACAAGATTTTATTAAAAATTCCAAGGTTTGGTCTGCCTCTCTCCATAGACAATGACAATGGGCCAACATTTATAACAGGTTATATAAGATCTAGCTAAACTGTTATACTGCTTATTGACCTCAGAGTTCTTGTAAGTTTAAAAAATGATAAATTATACCCTTAAGGTAAATATTGTCAAGTAACACCAGGTTATGAGTTGATCAGCTCCCTTTGACCTTCTTTTAAATAAAAGATACCTCAAGTCATACTGGGTTCTCCCCATATGAAATCTTGTTTGGAAGGCCACCCTATATCTTGAGAGACTTTATATATGAAAAGGGCCATATATAAGACACTTATGGTTTCTCCCACAGCTGTCAAGTTAACTAAAGTTCAGCTACCACCACTCTAAAATAAAACAGGTCTATCCAGAAAACTTCATAGACTTTGACTCCAGGAGACAATGCACTCAAAGCCCTGCTCTAAATTTAAGTATTGCCCAGGATCCTTCACCATCATCCAGTCCTGAGTCCGATAAGCCAACCTAACTGTTTACCCTTTCATCCTCTCACAGGGTATTGTGACCCATTTCACACTACAACAGCCATTGATATCCTAAGTCTTCTTATATTAGTACTCCTGGGACTTGTCCTTGGGATAGGATTGGCCACAGTATCTCTTTCCAATTATAATTTTACTTCCAGGTGTTTACTCTCATTGACCTATTACCTCATAATCTCATTCTTTGCCATTCTTAATTACTGGAAACAATAATGGTTCCTCTCCTGCTCCTGTTTTCTCTCCCAAACCTTACCCAAGCCAATAAGCCACTGGTGTGTACCTTGACTCACTCCCAGCCTAACTCAGCCCTCCTTCAGACCCAGGTATGATCTCCTGAAATCACATTCCAGGCCACCTTATGCCAATTCTTTGACCAAATCATCAAATTCCTGCCCCTCTTCAGACTGGCCCACAGCTGATTTCTGCTGCCCTTTCCATATCTACCTATACAGTTGCCCCCTGTGTTCTCCATCTTATTCAGTCCCAGGTCAGTTGCCTCTCCACTCAAGTCTCCCGACAGATGGCTCACCAGCTGATACTTCAGGCCAGAGACCTAAGTGAGACCACCGTGTTACATGACAGCCAACCAACTAACCATAGCTCAGATCTTGGCTTAATTTAAACATTTTCTAAATGATCTTTTCTGGTTTCCTCCCCACCCTCCTCCTATTACCTGCATAGCTGACTGGATCACTAATACACAGCTCCAAAAAACTTTATCAGATTTCACCCTGTCTGAAGTCACAATGTTTACCTTTATACTTGTTCTTAATAACCCTCCAACCAGTCCACAGCCTCATACAAATTATCTTCTACTCTCCCGTCCCTCATTAACTGATTTGTGTGCTTGGACTTTTCTCAGGAAGCCCTACCAACAATTCCAATGATAATGCTGCTGCTGTCAACAATTCCATCTTCATAAAGGACATTTCAGCTGGCCAACCTCCATGCCTGCCCCTAGGTTGACTCATCGCCCCAATTCAGCAGGAAGTAGTTATAGAAGACAGACACTCTGCCCCTTTTCTGTCTGCCCATGGATATGTTGGCTGCCAATTGTCATCCAAAATCAAAGAGTGGGGAATGTTAGGGAATTGATCATGTTAAAGTATGCTGTGACGCCGCCTCACAGGCTGCATTCTCCTGGTACATCTTGGCTCCTAAAATGACCTCATGCCCTTATCTCTGGTTTCCCTCCCACTCAAGGCCACAGAGGTCCAGGAAAGTTGAAACCTGTGTCTGCAGGACTGGGCCCATAAAAGCAATCTGGCCTGAGATAGGTTAAAAGTAACTCACTCCTCACAAATAAGCAATAGCCCACCCCAAAACTGATAAAAGGACCTTCCTTTCTTTGTTCTCTCCTTCTGCTTCTTCCTCCTCTCTCGCTCTCTCTCTCTCTTCTCTCTCTCTCTCTCTCTCTCTCTCTCTCTCTCTCTCTCTCTCTCTCTCTCTCTCTCTCTCTCTCTCTCTCTTCCTGCCTCCTGCTCACCTCCCTACAATAAAGATCTCCTGCCGGACCTCTCGGTGCGTGAGTGGCCTAATTGGGAAGGGGCACCTGAAAGGGCACATGAACCCCCTTTCATACTTTGTAGCAGGGAGTGTGATGTAGGACATATCCGATGAATTATCAACCAGGGCCCTTAGTAAGGCAGACAGACACAAGAACCTAAGTGGTCTTACATGAGTGAGGCACTTACATTCAGAACTTAATATATTTTAGGTAAATAGCTGATATTTAAGATCTCAGTTTTTACTAGGTTGAGTTCTATGTCCTAAACCAGAAGGAAAGATAGTCATATTAATATTGAATATTTGGATCCCATTACTAAACTGTTTATGTACTTTGATAGTTTTTGTGTGATCATTATTCATTAAAGTTTTTATTCATTTTGGAGGGTTTTGTGTGCGTGCCTGTGTGTGCATGCACACAGATTCTAACAAAACCAGTAATGTCTACTGTTATCTATAACCCAATAACCATTGCATGTCTTTATATAAAGTTAAATTACACTTAATGATAAGTACTCAGATCTTTTATCAAAAGCCTCAAAATAGCCTATTTATTTTAAGCAATTTTTATTATGTGTTGCTGTTTTTCTTACCATTATTTTGCATCAAAATAAACGTTAATTCCTTCAAAATTGTAACTTAAGGAAATTGTATACTTCTATCACTGATTGTGCAAAAAATGTTGGAACTCTGTTTAATTTACCTCCAAAGTATTCAGCATATTTTGATGAATATCATCAGTTTTGGCAGAATCCCCCTGAAAATAGTTTCAGTTTGGGGAAATAAATTACTGAGTGCCATTCTGCTTAGTAAATTAGGTGGTAAATTTGTCTAATACTGTTTTAGATCAAAAGCCAGTGATGCTACAGAACAAGAAGATCGTGCATGTTCTTATTTTTATTTTTTAAAAAATTTTTTTGGTACTGGAGATTGAACTCGGGACCTTGCGCTTATGAGGCAGGCGACTGCACCACTGAGCTAATCCCCAGCCCGAACGTACATGTTCTTAAGGTTCATAAACTTGACTCAGAAGGTAGTAACAAAAATGGAGTTCTGAGATTTGAATAAAGTATTATTGGAGTGAGGTACGGGATGATTTACTTTTAATTTTTTATTAGCACAGGGTTGCAGTACTTAATGGTTACATTTACCGGGGGAAATAGGCGCATGTACATAGCCTGATTTTTAAAATCTCTCTTCCCCTTCTTTCCATCTGTAGATTCCCTTTCCATTCCCATTTGCAAAAGATCTAAGATATGGGAAGATTTATACCCATTTCAATTTCTAAATTCTGGTATAGTTATATATCATAAAGTAAAATATTAACTGTCCTTTAGAAATTATTGTAATTAGCCTTGATATTTAGTTTCAGAGTTATAGGCACCCTAGAAGTGATTGTCTTTGAATTTTTATACAGCTGTTCACAAATAGTATGACTAACACCCTTTAATAAGACATTAACCCACGGTGGTTTTTTTTTTTACAACCCATGGTCTTAGTGAAACTTAGAGCATAACCTTTCATCTAATTTAGCAAATACCCATTACCTAATAAAACTAGATTTTACTTAAAGAGACTCGTGCATAATTTCCCTAAAACATGACTAAATATTATATTTTATTTCCTAACAACCTAAAACTGAATTTCGACTGAAGGATGTGCCTCCTAAACTAGTTTATCCTATGGTTTCATATTAATGGCTCCCCACTGATATTAAAATTTTATATTCAATTTGTTCTTTATTTGCAATTTGATATCACTTGTAAGTATATAAAACTGGATGAATTTGATTGTACTTATTTTTACTGTTCTTTGTTCACATCTTTTCATCAGAGTAAAACTTAAGGTAGCTTCTGAGGAGATTGGCATGAGTTTCTCAGACAAATAGGAAGATACGGGAATGGTGTTCCTTTGAGAATGTGACTGCTTTCTTGCATGGTGATTTGTTTCCACTTCCCGGGTTTTGAGAATGATAGGCAGTCAGAAGTTCTACATGCCAAAAGCAGAAGATACTTTTCTGGCATGAACTTTAAGTTGAAGGAGTTTATGATTGGCTGGATTACAATATAAAAAGTGGTTGTCTTTAAAGTAAGTAGGGCTTAAACTACAAAAGAATGGAAGCTTCTGTATGAAAATGTTTTTAAGGAAATTTAAGGAAAAACATTGTCTCGTTGTCATTTATTTTGCTGTAGGAAAACACCACCAAGCCAGTGAAACACAGAATGTGATTGCATCAGACAAAGCAGCAGAAGTATCGATTGTCCACGAACGTGAGCACGGCCATGACCACACACAGCTGCATGCCTACATCGGTGTGTCCCTTGTGCTCGGCTTTGTTTTCATGTTACTGGTGGACCAGATTGGCAGCTCCCACGTGCATTCTACTGACGGTGAGTACTTCCCAGGGCTTCATAGCAGTGCAGTAAGTTTGCTTATTTGGAAATGTACAAGTAATTGAACGATTCAAGCTGTCAATGTCCTTTTTTAAAGGCTACAACTCTTTCAGGTGCTGGGGAGCATTTTATTCAGTTGGTGGAGCTAGTGAGCTGTGGTATGACACAAGGAAGTGTTTACTGACATAACTCTTCTCAGAGCTGTTACCTTCGTTACTCATTCGATTGAGAGTTCTTAGTCTGTTCTATGCTGTGTAGTGCTTAGGCATCCTGAAGCCCGTGGACCTTTTATTAGGATATTGTTTTTATAAAATACATTTTATAATATGTATTTTATCATATGCATAAAGCATGATATATAGGATTACAGCGAAAACCAGTTATGTCAAGAGAGTTGCCACAATATTAGAACTAGTTTTTAATATAGTAATGATATCTTTTTATCAGTACATTAAATAATAAGATAATACATATAAATCCTAAGCAGATCAGAGTTGAATTTTGTATTTTAGGACATCAATATGATAGCTGTTGTTTCTTAAGAACATTAAATTATAGTGTGACCTTGTACACCTAGAATGTGCGGCAAGTTGAGCTTCCAGTTGATTGTGAGATTTTGCTTTGATGGTTACTATTGTCGGAAATCCTGTTTCACAAAGGTATTTTCTTACAATTTTACTTAAACACATTCTTATCAAGGAAAGATAAGCTTCTCTCAAGGACAACTAAAATTCGCCATGACTTTTCAAATTTAAAATAACTACTCAGTAACTTTTTTGTGTTAAGATTAATGACTTCATCTTTGGCCAAGTCAGCTTCTCTGATATGTCTTATATTAAATAAAGAGATTCTGATGCATAATTCAGCTTTGAAGCCTTGGTGAAGGAAATAAATTTGAGAATTGTTGTAGGGATTTATAGATATCTCTCTTTTTTGAGGAGGTGGGTGGTTGAGATAGTGTTTTACTATGTAGTTTAGGCTGTCCTTGAACTCATTATGTAATCCAGGCAAACTTGCAGCAATCTTCCTGCCTCAGCCTCCCACATGCTGGGATAAATAGCGCTTTTCATGTACATTGACAAAAAATTTTGCAGGCAGTAAATACTAGAAAGCAACATAGATATCTTGGTCCTCATTGGGAGATCTTATGCCTTCCACATGGGCTGGCAGAATGACTGTTAGGTAAGAGTTACTTGGTAGTTGCCCAGCTGTCACCTGGGCATTTGCAGGCAGGACACAGTAACCGTGCAGTGGGGCAGCAAGTCCAAGTTCTTAATTTACAGCAGTGATGAGTGAAAGTAATCCTCTAAAAGTATCTACCACTGTAAAGTAGTATCAAATTATCTGATTTCTATTGGCAATAAGTGTTCTAATATTACTTTTGGTTTATTGTTTTCTTAGTTAATGAAAATGCTAAATTTTAGTTATGGCTTAGTAAAAATAGCTCAGAAAAAAGCTTAGAACTTCATTGACATTCCCTGGATTCTACTCAGGTTATCTTTGGACCCAGAGTTAAGAATAGTTGGTTTACAAAAAAGTCTGGAAAAGCAGGTAAAAGATATGAACAGATTATTTAACAGTAAAATATAAAGACGGCCCTTAGTCATATGAAAAGATTTTCAGTATTTACTTAAAATAAAAGGAATGTATATCAAAATTACATTGAGATACCATTTCCCACTCCTCAGGCAGATATTCACAGATTTGACAGTACGCTCAGCTGGTAAAACTGTGGTAAAGCACTCTCATGTGCGGAGGGAAATGCAAAAGGGTGTAGCTCCTGTGGAGAGAATTTGGTAGTATCTAGCAAAATTGCCTATGTTTACTGTTAAGCTCCAAAATCCCAATTCTAGTTTACTCTGATAATACTCTTTCAGTTGGAAAATACATACACACAAGATTATTAAATGCTGCATTACTTAGTATTGTAAGATAACAGAAACTACTTAAATGTCTAGTCATGGAGATCATTTGAATGAACTACGGCATATACAAGTAATGGAGTGAGTACTATGTAGCTGTAAAAGATAAAATAAGAGACCCAGATATCTGTAAATGGATAGGAAGAGATTTCCAGAGAATTTTTTTAATGAAAAGGGGGGAAATAAAATGTCTTGGTCTCCTAGCATATATTGTTTTGTATTAGAAAGAAGGAGAAAAAGAAAACATACATATGTTTGCATGTCTTTACAAAAATGAAACACAGAAAGGATAGAAAAGAAAGATATTAGTTACCTCTGCAGTGTGAGGTAAAGGGTATGAGAGAGCAGAGGGGTTGTAGGAGGGTGTAACACCTTCCTGAGTGTGCTTTTTTGGTATAGTTTTTGGCTTTTGAACTATTAATAGTCAACGAAACCAGGTGGAATGTATTTCAATAAATAACACAATTGCATGATTTTTTTGAAAAACGAATTCAGGTAACTGATGGCTATAATATTTGACTGTAAACTGGTACCCTTGAAGAGTTGGGAGAGAACCATAAACAAATTCTGAACTCCTTCTGACAGGTTTTGCTTTCTGTAGTGGTATTGGCAAACTAATTCTAAAATTATTCTAGATTCATCATAGGATTGTGCAAATGAGTAAATTGTTAATACTGCTTTTTTTTTTCTGGTACGGGGGATCGAACTTGAGACCTTGTGCTTGTGAGGCAGATGGCAGAATCACTGAGCTAAATCCCTGCACCAGAAAATTGTTAATATTGGTGGAGCCAGAGTACTCTGTGTTGAAGAAGGAATGCACAAATGTGGAATGGAGGAAATCGAGAAAGAACTCCTTTAGGATGGATTGGAGTTAGAGGTGTTAGATTCATGAGTTCTGAAATGTGTGTATGTATCTCTTTGTTTGTAAGCAGGATCTAGAAGTAAGACCCTCAGTAGCATGAGCGTATCAGTGCTCTTCAGAGAAATGGCTGACTCCAGGATGGGTCAGGGTAGGTACAAGTGAGCTTGAAATATTTGTGCTCATTTTAAAAAGGGGGTCTGAGGAACATATCACAAAACATAGGAATCAGCTTAAAGAGGCTTATGCTGGCCAAATACGGGACAAATTGAGCACCAAAATAAGGATAAGCCACTGAGGAAATAGGAATCCATGAGCCCATCCACATGGTAGATAGGTAAATGGATAGATGATAAGAGGAGGAGATAAGAGGGCACTTGCTTATAGTAGGACGCTGAGTGCCAATTGGTTAAAGTATAAAGGATGCTGGGGTTGGGAAAATCAACATTTTTGTACTCTCATAGCAAAGATTGGCTCAAGCAAGAATCATCAGTGAAAGGTAAATCTAAGGAATAAATTTTGATTTACTTATTAGTTGCAAGGGAAAGATACATAAATGAAGAAATCAACTAGATTTTTACTAGATGATCAGATTAATGGCCCTAGTTTTCTACTTTTGATTAACTATAAATTCTAGACAAAATTTTTAAAACTACAACCTAATGACATTGGAGTGTAACCCAAAGCAGGTAAATTCTGGAAGAGTCAATACTTGGAACAGGGTAAATTTCTTAGTTTTACTACTTTTAGCAGATAGTACCCTGTGAAGCATCTAAAATTCTGATAGAAAATTCAGTATTTCTGGCCTAAAGACCTAGACGATAGAATTCAGAACAGCTGTCACAGCATTGAAAAGAAGGTAGAACCCTAGAAGGCGAGAACAGCTACTGGGAAAACAGAGTTTGAAATTAAAATGAAACAGACTCTTTAGAGGAGTAGAACAGAATCCAAAGAACCCATGAGATAATATTCAGTGTGATCACAGTTATTCAGTATCATCACAGTTACTTCCACCAGCGAGCATTTGTACATTCTGTACCTTTACAGGTGATATCCCAAGAAGCTTCACCCGTGTAGTATTCCTTCAAGAGCGTGCAGTAAAGGGACACGTCAGACAAACCTGAAAGGAAGGATCATTTACTAAAATAACAGAAAGGCACAAGAATGGGAATATTTTCTTCAAAAATGCCAATGTCAACTAAATGCAATATGTAATCCTAAACTAGATCCTTCTTGGAAACAAAAAAGTTAGGCAACTGACTGTTAAAATAGGCAAAATATTACTTTTAAATTTACTGGTCTAACTATATTTTGATTATATAAGGCAATATCCTTTCTCATTGTGGACCAGGGATTTAGCTCAGTGGTGCTGCACCTGCGTAGCAAGCCTAAGGTCGTCATTTCAATCCCTGGTACCAAAAAATAGAAAAAGAATGTATTGTAATATCTGGGAATAAAGCGTTATGATATGTACAACTTCCAAATGGTATAGAAAAAGGTATATAAAGAGCATGATATAAGTTATGAAGCAAATGGGATAAAATGTTAGTACGTCAGGCAGAGAAAAGATGTATGAATATTTTTAAATTGTTCTTACAGCTCTTTTGAAGGTTTGAAATGGTTTCCAAGTAAGGGTTTAAAAAATAACAAGGCTAGGGGTGTGGCTTCGTCTTTAATCTCCAACAATGACAACAAAAAAAGTCAGGTGCTAAGCATAAATGAAACAAAACAAGGGCTGGGGATTTGGCTTAGTGGTTCACCACCTGCCTTGCAAGTGCAAGGGTTGGAGTTTGATCCCCACTACAAAACAAAACAAAACAGCCTTGGTCTAGTTTTTAACCTTACATTTATTACTCCTTTTAAAGTATTTTTTCCATAGACATTTTAGAAATAAAGAAGACTGATTGTGGAAAATTGATTTAGGAGTAAATGGCTTTATTTAAACCCCCCATGTGCTTTATTTCAAATAGTAAATGAGAAGCACCTTCTGCTGGATGATATCTGACTCTGGCTACATTACATAATTGCCACAGTGGCATCTATGACATTCTTCTTGTTCTTCCTACCAGTTTTAATTTAAACTTCACAAGCCCAAGAAGATGAGGCAAATGTGGGCTCGGAAGTTACAGTCCTGCTAAGCTGCTCTCTGGCGGCAGCTCTTACCAGGAAGGCAGGTGGCATCTGTAAGAACCTCAATGTAAAGTCACTTGGTCAACACTGTGACATAAAGAAGATGGAAGTTCACTGTGTTCGTGCTGGCAGCTTCTTGGCTATTAGCACGGTTGTGCTGGCACCCAGGCGGGGGTGGGGAAGAAGTATCTGTGTGCCTTGGAGGAAAAAAAGGACAGTCCTCTACACCATGGAGGTCCAGTGGCCCAGTCTGGCTACTCACATGGTGTGGCTCTGATCTCTACAAGACCATGTGGTTCCTGCCAAGCTGAGGGCACCTTCAAAGTGGTAGTGATACTTGAAGTCCTGGTTGAGGCCTTTGGACAGACTGGAACCCAAGTGGCGAAGATGATGGCAGGGATACTGCAGAATTAGGGCGACCATGGGCCCACTGAAGAGCGGGTCTGTTGGACAGTAACTTCAGGGAACTGTGACATGGCTACTGGGAAACTTCAGGACACCTAGCCGAGGTCTAAATAAAGTTAGCCAGAGTTATTTGGGACCAAAATAATTTTAAAAAAATTTAAATATACTGTGTAGGCCCAATAGTGCCCTGTAATTTTATACATAGAATTAAATGTAGCATGGACAGTGAACAGTTACAACCGGCCTGACATAACAACAATTTGGGTTAATTAGGTTAATGGAAAATTCACCTGCCTCTTGTAATCTATAGAGTGTACCCAGTTAAACATCCAGATCTCAGCTACATTGATTTATAGCCAACTTGAGTTACGACCAGGCCTCTGTAATCAGTCAAGCTCACTGAATATCTTTATTCTTCTATCTCTAGATCACTGTTTTCGCCAGCTTTCATGTGTCCAATGACATGGTTTTACATATTCCCTGAAGAGTTTTATGTGTTATTAAATATTAGTAGCCAGGCATGATGGCACATGCCTGTAATCCCAGAACTTTGGGCAACTTAATGAGGCACTCTTTTTTTTGAGACAGGGTCTCATGTGTACTTCACGCTGGCTTTGAACTCACTATGAAGCCCACACTGGCCTCAAACTTGCAGTGATCTTCCTGCCTCAGCCTCCTAAGTGCTGGGATTACAGGCGTGAGCCACCACACCTGGCAGTGAGGCATTGTCTTCAAATTACAATATTAAAAAAAGAAAAGAAGGCTGGATTGTAGCTTAGTGTGAAGGCCCTGGATTGAATCTCCAATACTTAGGGAAAAAAGTAAAATGTATTTATTAAATTTATGCTAAAGTAATCTTTTCCTATAGATTTATAAAAACTTTTAATTTTAAGGCCTCTAATTTTTATCTAAGATGCTGCTTATAACTATACCATATGGCTATGTTATGTATAAAGGCCCAAGCAAGGTTGTCACGTAGAGTAATTGTCTCTTCTTCTCTTATTGACTGTTGAAATAGTTGTTATCTTGGAGTGATCAGTGGCCCTAGCTTTCATTCCTTGCAGTGTTTGTAAAGGATGACAAAATGTATTACTGAAAGTGACATGTTACTTTACTCATACACTTCTTCCAGATAAATCCCTCTTTCTGTCTGCTAGGCTCAACATTAAAGCTCTTGACATGTATTTGACAATGTTCACCTGTCATTTCACCTGGCAGTTTGATGTCCCTATCTTTCAATGATACATTGTTTAGACATTATTTCCTTGATTGTATGTTTCCTCTAATTCTAGTAACATCTTTATGTGACACAGATGAAAACTTTTTTCCATCTTCCAGTAAAAACTTACTAACCTACTGTGGGGTACTGTGCCATATTCTGTGAGATGCACTAAAAAAGAAGGAAAGTAATAGAAAGTGTCTCCTTTATCAGTTACAGTCAATGTGGTGGCGTAAGACGTTTAAGTGAAAATGGCTTTCTGTGTCACTGTGGGATACAGAAGAACCTCCGAAATAGCGTGTGAATCCAGGATGCCTAGACTCTTAGGTTGAGGCCAAGGAATAGTTGTTTTCGAGCTACAATTAATCCTTTATCCTTTTGTTTTGTTTTGTTTTGTATTTTATTTCTTGAGACAGGGTCTCACTTGTGTAGTTCAGGCTGGCCTCAAATTCATGACGATCTTCCTGCCTCAGTATTCTGAGTGCTGAGATTACAGGTGTGTGTCACCACATCTGGCTTTTTAAAAATCTTTTCTTGATGAAAGTGATCTTAAAATTAGACTTCGAACAATGTCTAGATTTTGGGTTAGCAAACTAAAAGATTTAGTGTATGTCAAAAGTTAAGGGTGGGCTGGGGCTTTAGCTCAGTGGTTCTGCTTCCTGCCTTGTAAGCGCAAGGATCCAAGTTTGATCCCTGGTACCAAAAAAAAAAGAGTTAAGGGTAAGGAGATTTAGTGGAGGAGGGATAAGAATGTTAGAGAGTGTTAAACTGATTTAACTCATCTGAATAGTGAGAAGTACTGTGGCACCAATTGCTTATGATAAGAGCCTACCTAGTACAACAGTTCAGACAGTTTGAAAAGCAGCAGATTTTTAACTAGTTAATGGACATAAGAGATTGGTGGTATTTTCAGAAGGTGACTCTACCATAACTGTGTGAGATGAATTCGATTAGGGGGAGATGAGAAGGGAAAACCAGTGGGAGCCTATCACAAATTTAGGTTTGAGTTAGGATGGTGACCGAGTAGAATAAAGAAAGGCATATGTGACAGACGTTAGAATGAAGACCAAGTTCTAGGAGGCTGGAGAAGATGAAAGAGTAAACAATGACAGTTATGAAGTGGGATTGAAATATGTGGTGATTATTTCAGTTTAAAAAATTTGTTACATTGCCATTCATCCCCTCAAAATAAGCGGTGGGAACACTGAACTAAATCCCTGGCCCCGTCTCATCTTTCCTGCCACTTTCTGGAGCAGTTCTGGAGATCCTATTTCATGAGTGTCTTTGTGATGTGTAATCAAAAATACAGTGACTGCTGCTGCCCAGTGCCATCTCATGGGAAGGCAGGCTCGTAAAAGCGTTAGCAACATACCCTCGTTCACCTTATTCCCTGGCCTTGTTTGACTTTTAAAAAGGCTCCTCTGCAAAGTCAAAATGACCACGAAAGGCAAACATTTGGAAACAATTCGGGACATTGAGGCAGCCAGAACAGTGCAACTAAAGATACTCATGAAATGGGACTTGCAGAGCTGCTTCTGAAAGTAGCCAGAATAATGGGAGAAATGTGTTCAAGCAAGGTAAGATGGGTGGCAATGTGTATTTTATTATAATTTCAATAAATAATCTAAATATTCACTATAGTTTTCAATCACACCTCATATGGGTCTGGGAAGAAGCAGAGACCATAGTAGAGCACTTGGCACTGGGTGTCGAGAGTTAAGGAGTGTGAAGAAGTGAGGCAGTTGGCAGTCACACATTTCAGGAGTTTGTTGATCAAGAGAAGCCTGAGTCAAAGGAAAAATCCCTTCTACCCAACTCTTCAGGATAGGAGAAACTCTTCAGTGTTTGAAGCAGAAAGAAAAAAGACAGCAGTGAGGGAAAAATCACGTCCTACTTTTAAGAGATTTCAAAAACTTCATCTAGCTAGGCATGGTGGCACATGCCTACAATCCCTGCACTTGGGAAGCTGAGGCAGGAGGATCACCATGAATTTGAGGCCAGCTTGGACTACATAGTGAGTTCAAGGCTAGCCTGATCTACAAGGCAAGACCCTGTCTCAAAACAACATTCAGAAACTTCATCTACCTCCACACATACTCAGTTTCTGTCTCACACGTGCTTTCTTTTTCATTCTTCCTGCAGATCCAGAAACAGCAAGGCCTAGCAGTTCCAAAATCACCACCACACTGGGTCTGGTGGTCCATGCTGCAGGTAGGGTTGGATTGCAGTGGGACCCCCTCCTGTCATTCAGGGAGGCGTAGTGTTTACTGAGACCATCCGTACTGAATGGTTTGATGGTTTGGGTTAGCCTTGGGGGAAGGGTGTTTAGTATCTGTGCCGGGTTTATGAGCTGAGAATGGTTTAATAAAGTTGTATTAAAACACAGCAACACCCACATGTTTATGTATTAATCTGTGGCTGCTTTTGCACAACAACTGACTGGTTTACAAGAGGCCAAATGACCCACAAAGCCCAAAGTATTTGCTGGGACCTGGCTGTTTAGTGGAAGTTTACTGACCTCTGCCCTAGGAGTTGTCTGGAAAAGATCCTTGGCACTTTGTACTGAATACCCCTGGTGCCCGATGTCTAATCACAGTCTCGGTGAGAAGAGGGAGGTGGAATGCAAAAATCTGATGGGGCAGACTTGAGAACCACAACCCAGACCTCGTAACAGAGGAGGGCATGTGAAAGGCACGTATTATCTAGATGTTTCTGGTATGACGTGCCTTCCTAATAAAATTCCCTTGCTTGGCCAGTACGCTCTGTAAGGGTAAATCAGAAGGGTCAAGATCTAGTGCCTATATCTGTAAGATGAAGAGATGCTTCCTTTGAAATTCTTTGGCATTTCTTTTGTTACAGTTTGATTATCTAATCAGTGGATTTTTGAGCTCCATGTTTTTTTTCATTAATAACAGCAAAAGTAAATAGCATGCTGAATACTCTGGGCCCAGTGCTAAGCTCTTTACATAATCTCCCATTTACTCCTCATGAAAGCCCTGAGAAATACATGCTTTATTGAACCCATTTTACAGATGTGAAGACTGAGGTTCAGAAAAGTTAAATAACCTTCTCAGAGTCACATCCACCTCTGCCAGAGTCTAAGGCACCCAGTCACCCCGCAGCCAGCACACTGCTATTGTTGTTTAAGCATTTTATGTTTCCTTGTTTCCAAATTTAGCTGATGGTGTTGCTTTGGGAGCAGCAGCTTCTACATCACAGACTAGTGTCCAGTTAATTGTGTTTGTGGCAATAATGCTCCATAAGGTAAGCAAGATTTAATAATGAATATAATCACGATTAAAATTTCTCTTGCTCTTTAATGTTTTTGTGGAATAGAAATTTTGTTTTCCCCATTCATTTTGGAGAATAATATAAATTGTTCATAGTTATTTTTTGCTAATGTTTTCTTAAACTCTTACTGAGAGTTTATTTTTTTGTGTTTTTATATATAAACTTAACTTCTCTAATTTCTATATTTTAACTTAACTTCTCTAATTTCTATATTTTAACTTCTCTAGATTTCTATATTTTTGTGGAATTTTGTTCATAAGCAGTTTTCTTTTCTTGACTGTTTCCTTTTCCTACCATGTAAGAAACATTCACTTAGGTAGAATGGATCCCTGCTTAGTGTAGAACATTCATTTCTAAAAGGCAGAGCTCAGATTTCATGCTGTGTCCGGGCTTTGGTATGAGACTTCATGGTAAATGCCATTACTTCTTGATGTAGAAGCAAGCCTCGCTTGTAGAGGGATAATAAGGGATAACTATTCATTTCCAGGCCCCGGCAGCTTTTGGGCTGGTTTCCTTCTTGATGCATGCTGGCCTGGAGCGGAATCGAATCAGAAAGCACTTGCTGGTCTTCGCACTAGCAGCACCAGTTATGTCCATGGTGACGTACTTAGGACTCAGTAAGGTACGTCTGACCCGCCCCAGCTTATCCAGATGTGTCCAGTTCCTTTGTGGCCTGCTGGCACTTACAGTCTCTTATGTCACATTTTTCAACTGAATTACTTTCCCAAACTAAAGGTCAAAAGCAGGAATAAAGGGGTCAGGGATTTAGCTCAGTGGTTCTGCTGCCTGTCTTGCAAACACAAGGTCCAGAGTTCAGTCCCTGGTACCAAAAAAAAAAAGGAGTAAAACCTGTACAGGGTAAACATCTTAATCCCAAGTTAGTCCTTTTGATATATTTAACATTCCCTTATCCATTTAATTTGAAAACTTTTCCCCATAAGGTCCAAGCATATTTGTAGAAATACACGATAGAACTTCAATATGCAAAATAATATATAACGTAACCGGTCACGCTTATGTTTTTGACAGTTAAGCAGTGAGTGTCGGGTAGGTGTGTAGAGCACGCTTGACAAGTCATGTGGCAGCCTTTAGCAGAGTAGGAGTGAGCACGTTGGCTGTGCTCAACTGTGATTCAGATTCCTGCACTTCCAGCTGTCGTCTCACCTAACAGTAGCTCTCTAGTTCTTTATCACCGAGCACAGCTTCAGACCTGAAGGGACATTTGTCAGTTGTCAGCTGAGGGCCAGTGCAATCTTCCTTTTCCAGCCTGGACCTTTCCATGCCTGTGAATTCCATTTGCCTGGGCTACAACTCCCAGTTTTACCTAAATGTCAGCTGTCAGGCTATCAGAGGAAAATTTTAAAACCAAACTGATGCAGGGCTAGTTCAGAGAAACTGCTTTCCCCTGTATCCTTCCTGAAGGCCACTCATTCATCATTATATACTACAGATATTCCTTGTTTAATGACATACCTGTTTAACCACTCTGTGGACTGACAACTGAGGCATGCTGTTCAGACCTGCAACTCACCGCTCAGTTCTTAAACCTACATTCAGACTTAAGACGCAGGACCGTGAGCCTTGCCTATGGTGGCCATTTCTACAGTATAGCACTGTCATTTCTGCTGACTGTACAGTGTAATGCTATAGTTTTATGTTCTGTTATACATTACAGTACTGTATGTAAGAGGTACACAAATACAAGCAAAGTCACCAAGTTGGAGTCTCCTCTGCCCATTTCTTTGTTCTGAATATTGTAATGTACTATGTACAAGTCTGCATTTAGCGACCAATTCATTTAATGACCTAGTTGTAGGAACAGGACTCAATAAAACTTGTACTAAAAGATACACAAGAGCTAAGTTCCTGTTAAGGCTTTGTATCTCTTGATTGCTAATAAATGAGTTGTTATAAACCCCTTTCTATTCACTAGAAGAGCTTGGTCTTCTTTCCATGAGCAATATGTAGTCTCTTTTAAAATATGACTTAATTGATCAGTACAAGTTTTTTAATTTTTGTATAGGAAGGTACTGATAATTCTTAGGCCTTTCATGCTGCATCTATGGCTGATGCTTAAGCTTTTAATTAATCATTTAGTCCATAGATGCACTTTTTTAAATAGAAAAGGCTGAAATTATTTGTCTGAAGATTAACACATGAGCCCTTTCTAAGCTCTGTGAGGGCAGCTTCTGCATCTTGATTACCACTGTATCTCAAGTATCTGGCCTAGAGCCTGGACATAGAGAATACTTATTAAATATTAGTAGAATAAATAAGTTAATATCTGAAATGTAATGTCTGCATTGTTATGCTGTTAGTTCTATCTCAAGAATAATATAGGCAAACCCTATTCAATTAGCACTTGAAGGTTTTTTTTTTTGAAAAGCAATTGTAGTGAATATTGTTGATAGTAGCTTATATTTCAAACCTGATAATTAAATTTCAAATATTTTGGCCACACACACAAAAAAAACAAATATTTGAGATAATCGATGTTAACTGGTTTGGTTTAATTATTCCACATTGTATTCATAAATTTTAATACCATTTTATACCCTATATCCTATTTAATTGTAAATTATCAATTTATAATAATTTTTAAAAAAACAATTATGTACATCATTGGTCTTAATTTTTTTCTTTTTTGAGACAGGGTCTCACTATGTAGTTGAGACTGACCTGGAACTCACTATGTAGCCCTGGGTGGTCTCGAACTCATAGTGATCCTCCTGCCTCAGCCTCCTGGGTGCTGGGATTACAGGCATACGCCACCACACCTGGAAGTCTTCTTAAATTCTTATTTGAAAGTGCCCTATAAATTACAAATGACATAGAATATTCTGACCTTAGGATAGTCCTAGTATCCCAGACCACACCAGATATTACTGCTGAGGGTTTTTTAACTGGGACTTCTTCTTAACCCCAAACTTTACTTAATTTTTTCTCTTCTTTCTTTTTATTAACAGAGCAGTAAAGAAGCCCTTTCAGAAGTCAACGCCACTGGAATGGCCATGCTTTTCTCTGCTGGGACATTTCTTTATGTTGCCACAGTACATGTCCTCCCTGAGGTGGGCGGAATGGGGCACAGCCACAAGCCCGACGGCACTGGAGCGAGAGGCTTCAGCCGCCTGGAGGTGGCAGCCTTGGTCCTGGGTTGCCTCATCCCACTCATCCTGTCAGTAGGACACCAGCATTAAATGTTCAGGTCCCAGCCTCAGCCCATGGCCGTTTGCCACCCAGTGAGAACAGCCGGCACCTGCCAGCCGCTCACCTCCTCAGTCTCTGTCTGGCCTTCCCCATCTCCACCTGTGTTGCTAGAGTTGGGAGGGAGGTGAGAGTCGATCCTGGAGTGATGGATAAGTAAGTGTGCAGTGGAGGAGCAGCATTGTGATTAGGTAGAGGCTTGTATTGTCTTTTAAAGGGTCCTTGGCGTATTGAGTTTTGATATTTCTCTTAACCCTATTCTCAGGGAAGATGGAACTTAGTTTTAAGGAAAAGTAGAGAGCTTCATACAATAAAATAGTCATTATGAAAACAGTGTCCTGTAAGTAGACTAAATTTCTTTCTTCTTAGAGGCTCTGCCACTTCACCCCTTGATTTTTAACATGGTTCTCACTGTGTAAGACTAGTATTTTAGCATCTGTGTCACATACTTTAATAAAAGATCACAGCACCCACTCTCAGATGCTGAAGGTGATTGCTGTTAATTTGCAATTACAGCACAGGAAAGAAGGGCTGGACACATTGAAAACGGACTAGTGCTCAAAGGAGATATCTATTGAAAGAGGACGTCTAGAGACTTAAATGCTTCCTTTGCACGTGCCTCTCTAAATGCAGCCTGCAGTCCCATCCTGGGGAGCGGGAGCAGCAGCGGGACCAGCTTCAGAAGAGGTGACTGCTCTTTTGGAGTATTCTCTTCTAGTTTCCTTTGCGAACTAACTGCCTCTAGCACATTCTTACAGAGGAACAAAGTTCTAGCAGATTTGGGCTGAGGCTTTCCTCCAGAACAGTCTGATCACAAAGTATCTTTGGAAATGAGGGAGGCTAAATTTTAAGTGAATTTGGATAGTTACTGACATCTCTGTAGTCACCCTTTTTTTTTCCACCTCAGTACCGGGGATCAAACTCAGGACCTTGTACTTGCTAGGCAGGTGCAGCACCACTGAGCTAAATCCCCGGCCCTGTAGTCACCTTTTAAAGAAGACTACCAAAGTCCTTTCTTTTTATTTTTTTAGTATTTCTTTTATCAGGTCAGCAGTCCCTCTGGCTAAGCACTTGTCTGGCACGGGAGCATTGTGCCTGCTCACATAAACACCTGTAGCATGAAGAAAGTCTAGCTGTGTCATAAATGAGAAGTGTCTGCCCAGTAGCCTAAAACTTCTCAAAATCATGTCCTTTATATATTTATCTTTCCCACGGTTTTCTCCTAACTTTTCCCTTTGGTCCCTCCTACAATTTGCTGCTCACTTCTGGTGGCAATGTTCATACTTGTGTAAGATGAATACTTCTGAGAACAACCACTTCTTGAACTGTGATGATGAAGATAATATTGTCTCTGTTCTTCACTGCCTTCAAAGAATTTACTTTTGTGTCAAATGCAGCTTTGTTAAGTCCTCAAAATATCACCTCCTCATGTTTGAATTGACATAATCATTAATATTCTGATAATTTAAACAATTGAGACAGCGAAAGTGTTTAACAAACTAAGGTAATTTTTCCATGTTTGCCAAAATCCATATAAATCCTGTTTTGTCAAATAAGTGTATAATACTGTATCCTTAATTTATTTTGATTTTCTATACCATTTCAAAGCACATTTTTTACATTAAGAAAGAACCACAACTGATTTCTTCAAGGGAGTGGATTTAGTTGTTTGTAAAATCGTGTTATATGACGCATAAACCAGCATGCCTGTAATTTCTTTTTTTCCTAGATTTGTCACTGTGCCAGCAGCTGTGGAATTAAACTTGCGTGCCCTCTGCTGGCTGCAGTGAAGAAAGTAGCATCAGTAGGACACAGTTTTTATAGTAGCTGGCAACCATTGCATGTAATGTTAAAATAGAGGGAAGGCCCAGTAGAGAAAGTCTGAGGGACTGTCCTGAACAGAAGGTAACACCTGACTCGTAGGAAGCTGCCAGTATCACCTTGTCCTTCGAAGTATGGTTGCCTAGATTCTCTCCAGAAACTTACTTTGTCAAAGGAAGATTTTTTTGTGTCTGGTTTGGTTTCGATAGAAGTAATTTCTATCATGTTGTGTGCAGTGATCAGAAATTTATTCTGTTGGCCAAAGCCTCTTTCAGCAGTGCCTTGCCATCTCACTTATAAGTTTGGCTGGAATATCTTGCTGGATAGGCCCTTGAATTCTGGCAAGGATTGAACCCTCGAGCTTCCAAATTTGCCTGCCCTTCTGGACCTCAGTATTCACCAACTCTCAGACGCCATGGACTTTCCCAGTCTTAAAGCTGCGGCCTCAGGAACTGCTTGTTCTACCCTGGTCAACAGGCAGATATAGCCATACAAATCTCATAGGGCTCATATGCGTCTTCAGGCAGCAGGGAACTGTGCAACATGGCAGGGGCCTCTGCTGAGAAAGAGCTCACTCACGTGCTGGGCATGGTCTCTGGAGAGGCCATCACAATGCTCACTGTAGCACCCCCCAGTTCCGTTTTTCTCCTGTTGAAAACTGCCTCCTTAGATGCGGATGCCTTAATGCTCTAACACGTTTGGAAACATTGATGATACTTAGGTTGCTGCCATGACTGCTGGAATTACTGGCTACCAAAGAGATGCAGTTGATGATGAAAAGCATGGCCCATCCTTCTTCACAACCAAAGTCAATGTTCATTGCAATTTGAGTCCTTTTCCTTGGTAGGGATAGACTTTCTTCAGATTCAGAGTGATCTCTGAAATGGCAAATGAAGTTGAAAAATACTACTGACCTATTTATTCCTCACCTGTTCTCCAGTGAGTTGCGTATCTGTTCTCATATCACCAAAGCAGGGATGTTTCAGGTTTCATTCAGTTTTCCTATGCATGCTGTTGCCAGATTTCTTTTTCTTTTTTCTTTTTTTTGGGGGTGGGGCAGAGGTTCTGTACTGGAATGCAAAGAGTTGAAATGGTACTACTTACATGGGCTGTGTTCTCTCTCCTGCCCTTTACTCCTTTATTTCCTAGTTCAAAACAGCCCAGTCAGTCCGCTCCAGTATTTTGAATCACTAGAGAAAAAAAGGAACTGACTGTTTTGAGGTGTCATTTCTTACAAAAAGGAGAAAATGTAATTGTGTTTTTTACCAGCCTACTTCTAAATGTCACTGCCTGGTTTTTCTCTCTTTCAAGGATTAGGACTAGGAGGACACACCAGCAAGAGTGTGTTAAGCCCCTGACACACATGGTAGCTAGGTATTGACACAGCAACTGAATGCCAACAGCACAAGCCCTAAAGACTGTGCCTGCCTCTTGGGCCCAGAGCCCTTTGGGAGCCTGAGAATCACAACCACTTCATCTTAAACTGCTGCAGTGCAAGGCAAGAACATAGTTGTTGAGCTTCTGTGCATCAGAAGTTTTCTGCTCGGAACAGAGCCTTCCATGTCACCCACAGAGCACAATTGGAGATGCTATGGTGTTAAAACCAATGATAAAATCTTCCTGTTCCTGAGACATCTTAATTCACCCCAGGAGACCTGAAGGAGATTTGTTGTTGTGGGAAAGGACTGGCCAACTACTTAGGAATTCTGTAGATAAGCTCACCTAATACAGCTGCTTAGCCCAAGGAGACCGGCTTTGATCTGTGTCAGGTGGTGTCTTCCCGCAGGCTGGGAATCTACATGGGGTCATAACCGCGGTTCCCCTGGTTTGGTGGCCTGAACAGTGATTTTAAATGTCCCCTTTTCTGGATCCTTTGTATACATGAAATCATTCCATGGCTGGCTGCCTTATAATTTTGTCTCTTTACACTTTAATTGTGAATGGTTTAAAAGAATTGCTGTTTTCTGATTTGTTTTATGATATTAAATTTTTATTAGTGCATACCTTATGTGAGTGGCTCATTACTTATCTATTGGCAGTGTTTCTGTTTGACAGCCAGAACTGACCCACATTTAAAAACCAGCAAAGTATTGAGAAGCTGTGAAGAGCGGTGGAAAGGTACTTACTATACACACATCCTGTAAGCAAGGGAGGAGGAAAGGGGAAAATTCGGGACTCTGTACCATCTGCTTTGAGACACAAATTCATTGACACTTTTTTGCTTTGCTGTTGTAGGTTGCAAGTATAATTTATGAAGGTAGCCCTGTACCTCCAAAAAGGAGAGACAGGCAGCAGGGGCCAATCCCCATGGATTTGTTTCAAAAGGCAGAGTTGTTTTATGATCGTGCAGACACTGAGCAACTGGCCCTGGAAATAAAGATTAAAGTAGACGTGCAACGTGAGAAATTGGTAATGGTTTTCTCCCTCTGCAGACTTTAGTGTTGTGGCTTATTTTTAACTTAAGTACAAATATCTGCTATACAAAGCAGCATGTCATTGACATGTACTATTTGAAGGTGGCTGTGGTGGCATGCACCTGTGTTCCTAGCTGCTGGAGAGACTGAGGCAGGAAGACCACAGGTTAGAAGCCAGACTGGACAACCTAGCAAGACCCTATCTCAAAAGAAGAAATCACTTCTAGTCCCATACAGAGACGATAACCGGTAACATTGGGCATAATTTCTTCTAATACTCTTCTAGGCTTAAAAATATAGTAGAATGGTCTTTTGCATGCATGCATGCAGCATGTCTACAGAAGCAGCAGAGGAGGCTGGTAAGGGGAGAGGGCTGAGTGCGGCTCAGTGGTAGTGCGCTTGCCTAGCGTGTGCAGTCCTGTGTTGAGTCCCCAAGACCACCAAAAATAAAAATGTGGACATTATTAGCTTTCATTAGTTGTGCTGGTTTTTCATATGCATTATGTGCTAGAGTGATTGTACCCCAAGTGTGCTGTTTTTAACATCTCATGAAGAAAAGCAGCCTCAAGGACATGATATTTATGTCCCTGCCATCTCTACAGGAGTCTCTGGGTGCGGCACCACCCCCTCCTCTGTCTTGAGCTGCAGGCCTTGAAATCTTAAGAAGTCAGCATTATGCCCTTTCCTGAGAGCGTGTGTGTGTGTGTGTGTGTGTTTGTAGACATAGCCAAAATAGCCAACAATCCTTAGTTTTATGTTCCTGTAAGCCAGAGCTGCATCCACAGTGTCATTTTTTAAAGAATTGGGAATAAGCATCCATGTGCCTGTGTTGTCCCTTGTCCAGAGTGCTCTGCCACAGCCTCCCCACCTCCTTGGGTGTCTCCTTCATTTAGGTGCACTGCGACCACCTTAGTAAAACTTATCTGCCCTCCCCTGCCATGCTTCTTACCTTGTATTTCTTTTATGTAGCATGGATCACCTTTTAATGTGCTTTATAAAATATCTTGCCTTTGTCCCTTTTGCCCACTAGAAGAGGTAGGTGCTCAATAAACAGTTGTTAAATGAACTGTTCTGCCTGGTTAGGGGACACTTCCCACCCATTCACCACCCCACACACACCGGCTTCAGGCCCAATCCTTGGCAGAAACAGCTGTGGCCTTAGGAGTAGCTCACTATGGGGAGTTAATGAAGATAGGAGTCAGAAAGGGTGTGGCTGGGTGTACAGGTTGGAAATTAACTGGGTTTGATTTACTAATCTAACCAACCCAAGTAAGATGCTGGGTGACTGATATAGGCACTAGGGAAGCTGGAGCCCACTTCTGGCTTAGCCACTGGTGTCTGTGTGTATAGCTTTGTGCCAATTTTATAGTTTATGGTTGAGAAAGTGAAGAGCATGTGCTTCACTGTGGCTGCCATGCTTAGTGGACTCCTGACAGGAGAGGGAGCCTCGGGGAATTTGAGGCCTAACTGGATATTTGTCTGTGTGGGGGATGCTTTGGGCACCAGAACTCAGTTTAAAGCTCCTTAAGGGCTTGCCAGGGCAGGGAAGCAGTGATCCTGGGTTCCCCAGAGGTGGAACCAGAAGTAGGCAGAACCCCACCCCTAATTCATGCATTTCTTCACCCTGTTCATAGAACCCTCCTAGGGACCAAGCAGTACAAAAGGAAGCAAGAGTTGGCTCCAATCTTGGAAGAGCCAGTGGTTCAGGGAGAGCTTCGGGCAGGAAAACACAATGACCAGTAGTAAGGTACAAGGAGGAGAGTTAGCATGACCCAGGCACCCAGGAAGGGTGTGCAGAAGGCATACAGAAGGCAACGAGACCTGTGTTGAATCTGAAGGCTGAGAGGGTGAGTAGGGAAACAGGAAGGGCTCTCTAGGCAGGACACGTAGGCAGGGGCCTGGTGGCAACAACATGGGCTCTGCATAGAAAGTGCTGTTCTGGCTGCAAGAGGGAGGCACACAGTGGCTGTGGAGACATGTTGCTTCCTTAGATGTCCTCTACACTTTCAGATATAAAACTTCTGTAGATAATCAGGCCCCACCTGGGGTCTTTATAATCCCTGCCTCAGCCCCAACTATCCCTTCCCAGGTGGTGCTGGCTGGCCTGAGTTCCTGTAGTAGTCAGCAGTCACCAGGTCCCTGTACTCCAGTGGCACCTCTGCCCCTTCAAAGTGGATAGACCCTTTTTTGCCCTCCCCATTCCTGCTTGTCTCCCCCACATCCTGGCTTGAGTCCAGTGTTTCTGAGCAGTGATGTCCTCAGATACCAGGAGCCCATGTAGCACTGTGAAGTGGCTAGCAGGCCTGCAGGACAGCAGGGTGCTCTGGCCACCACCCCGCCCCCCGAAAAACACTCTACATTGGCAACTTTGGGTGTGAGCAATTACTGGGCAATGTGAGGCCAAAGGCCTATAAAGGGCTGACTGCTGCTGAGAACAGAATCCATCCAGCCTAGTAAAAGGGAGTTCAAGTCAGAAACTGAACAGGGGCTGCTGGAGTGGCTTCCAGTGGGCTTCCCAGAGGAAGTGAGCTGTCCTGCAGGGGCCCAGAGATGGGGCATCTGATCTTCTCTGCCCACAAGCTCTCTTCTGGCTCCTCCACCTCCGTGGTTCTTTGACCTACTGGCTTCACACCTACATGTGGTACCCTGTGCCCTACCTCATATCCCTCTTGAGTTCCCCTGGCGCAGCCAAGCCATGCATGGGTAAGGGAGCCGAAGACCCATCTTGGCCTTAGGAAGTCAATCAAAGTAGGAATCGAATTCAACAAATGAGGCAAGTGTTTTGATCCTCACCAAGAGAGGAGGGAGAAACATGAGGAAAGGCATCACACGTGAAGAATCATTTGAGGTGAATCTTGAGGCGGGATCTGGGGAAGAAGAAAGGCATTCTAGACTGAGGGAGGAACAAGTGGAAAGAAGATACAAAAGAGCATGGCAGCTTCTCAGAATATCAGAAGCTGTGTGGCTGGAACAAGTGTCAGGGAGAACAGTGGGGTGAACCCAGACCATACAGGGACCAGGTTGCTGTGAAGGTTGCTGGATCAGGAGTTGTCCGCTGGCATCAAAGCAATGGAGATCCCGCAGAGGGTTTGAAACAGCTTTAGGCCTTGAAAAGATGATACAGGGACAGCGTCATTCCTGGATTCTCTGGGCGTTCCTGCTGTAGGCGGTGAGAGCCATTTGAAGAGGCTTTTACAGAGTCAAGTAAAAGAGTAGAGAGTAAATCAAGCTGGGATGGATGGGTGAGTGTGGCTGAGAGAACACCAAGGCCCAGAGCAGCTCAGTTATTGTTCTTCATTCCCAGAGCCTAGATTTACACCCATCTTAACTCAAAGCAGCAGGGGCTGGGGATTTAGCTCAGTGGTTCCAGTGCCTGCTTCACAAGTGCAAGGACCCGAGTTCAATCCCTGGTACCAAAATAAATAAATAGCAGGTGATAAGCCTGCCGTGGAAAGATTGCTTTCCCACTCATTCTCAAATACCAACAGATTGTTTTATCAGAGGGGAAGCCAATGGCCAGAGAAGTTAGTCTCCATTAGGTTGACAAGACAGGAAACAGCAGTTCCTGAGCAGAAGCCAAGTAAATCAGTTGAGTGTCTACTACATTTCCTGGCTCCTGTCCTCAAGGAGCGCACAGTCTAGGAGAGGAAAAATTGCACAGAACAAAACCCCAAACCAGGCAGGCAGACAGGTGCTAGAATGGAAGATGGGCAGAGGTCCACCAGAGCCCAAGGAGGGTGTTGTGTCAGCTCACAGTGGGGCCACACTCTTGTGGGATCCAGGGCAAGTGCCTGAGTGATGGAATCGGGGTTGGAGGAGGAAAAGAGCTGGAAGACACTCAGCCTACCCAACGTTCAGATCTTCCTGCCACATCTATATCGTTGCTCTGTAGGGATGCTTGGGCTGGGCCCAGCCATCACACTGACCCTGGTGCTCGAGAAGCCAGAGGAGCAGCACTCCCAGCTCCCTCCCTTGGCATCACCTTGGAAACAAGTGGAAAAGGCTCGGCCCAACTGTCTGAGGGTGGAGACCAGGACCAGGGGACAAGGAGGGGACAACGTGGCACTGTAAGAAGAGCTCCTGTTGTCCTGGTCGCTGAGAGCTTTTGTGGCCCATTCAGGATGTGTCCCCAGAGAGACCCTGTCACCATATCCAGGGAAGGAATGCTTTGCTGTCCATTCCCGGCTCCCGGGGGTTAAATGAGCCTTCTGTCTGACTCACAGCTGAAGCTCAAGAGCAGAAGCCAGGTGTGGTGGTGCTCACTTGTAATCCCAGCACTCTGGGAGACTGAGGCAGGAGGATTTCAAGTTCTAGCCCAGGCTGAGCAACTTAGTGGCTTAGTGAGACCCTGTCTCAAAATAAAAAATTAAAAAGGAATGGGGATGTAGCTCCGTGAAAAGACCCTGGGTTCAATCTCCAATCCTAAGGGGAAAAAAGGTAGCATTCACCCTTTTACTTCCCATGGGCTGGTCACGTGAAGTGGCCATGTTCACAACTGTCTCCTGAGCCAGCAGACCATGGGTAGGAGCCACGCCGTGAAGGTCCATTCTCTATGAGGAGTCCTTCCTGAGTCCGGCTGGGAGTGGAAATTTTATAGCACTAGTGAAACTCTGGAATTCTGCAGGATCGCTGAGCCTTAGGTGAGTTGGCAACTGAAAAATTACCGAAAAGGAAGAAAGCCCACACTTCACACAGCCACGTGCACTGCTCTGGGAAGGGTCTGGGTTTGGAATTCAGACCAAACTGAAGCACTTGATCCTACCACTTCCCCTCATGCACAGGTGAGGGCCTGTCGTGTTCCAGGAAATGATTAGCTGCGTGACTTTAGGTAAACAACTTTTTTAATCTTGATTTTTCTCATCCGGGAAACTAAAAAAGGCCTACTTCCTAGCCCATTATCAAATTAGATTGAAAGGGCTAAGTATAAAGAGCACATTGAGAACTTCAGCTCTGCAACTAAGCAGTAGGGGGCAGAATAGGGACCCTGAGTTTCCCCCTGGCTGGTCTGACGTGGTTCCTGATAGCTTGGGCAGCCTTGACCCCTGGGTCTGGGCTCTGGTTTGGCCTCCAGCTTGTTTTGTCTCCCAGAGAACTTGCAGCCAGGCTCTCAGATTCCCACCGACAGGACAGAGAACACAGTGGAAGAGACAGACTTTTCCCACAGCTGACCTGGCACAATCTGGGCTGTTCATTGGCTACTCAAGTAGCCAGCAGTTGATCAGACTGGTGCTGTTTGTCTTGGTGGTCTATTGTTGTTAGCTAAATCCTGTCCAGATGTCCGCTGTGCAAAGGAAATGGACAAAGATTGCTCTGTAAAACAAAAACAAAAACAAAAACAAAAACAAACAAACAAAAAAAAACCCAAAACAGCCCTAGGGATCACGGGCCAGGCGCGCAGATAAATCACGACCTCAAACTGCATCGACAGCTCCAGACTGGCGCTGAGTGCCAAATGCCGACACAGTCAGCCAAGTTCCAGGGAAAGAAATCCGACCTGCGGGAGGCGGCCGCTGTGCAAAGTGAAACTCACGTGAGGGGCCAGGAGTCCTGCCACACACACTGACGGAACCTGTCGCGGCAGGCTCTTAGACACTGATCCAAGTCTCACCTGGCCACTGGCCTGCCCCAGGGTGCAGTTGAGAAACCCACGTCTCCCTCAGGTTGCAGAACGCAGCAAAGGCTGAGCGGGAGCGCCGGCTCAGTCTTCTCACACACACCACACCCTTGCTCCTCTTCTCCCAGCCCAGAGGCCAGCAGGTGTCTGCGGAGCTACGCCCGCTGCGGACCACGCACGTCCCAGGTCTCCACGCGGGGTCTC